CTTCTTCTGTAATAATAAAACCCCTGGTTTTTAACTAGCACATAGCCATATGGCTGCATTCTACCCAACCCAAAACAATCAAATGTGATTTGTGCAACTGCCAGGCATTGCTGAAAAGGGAAGGGGACAGCTTTTCTACCTGCCCTTATCTGCTTCCACTGGCTGGAATGCAAGCAGGCTTGGTAGCTCAACTGGGCAGTGTGGAAGAGGGACACCCGAGGAATGGTGAAGCTGTGAGACTGAAGGAGCCTGGGTCCCTTGTACAAAGCACGTACTGAGCCAACCTTGTAGTGTTTACACTGAACTGTCACACAAGAGCAACTTGTGTCCCTTTTAAGCCACTATAGCTTGGGGTCCCTGTTATAAATGCCTACACATTAGCCAGCAGGTTATTGAGAAGATTAGACTTTGCAGAACCTACATTATCCAGTTTTGTTTTTCTTTGAGGAAAACTCCTGAGAATGAAAGCTTGGCATTCTGTATTCCTGCATAATTTTCTAGAATCTAATACCTGGGGAACTAAATTTAAATATCTACCACTCCTCATTGTAGTAGCACCTTGAATGAACTTCCTAGTTCAGAAGAGCTATTTTCAAAGCCAACTTTTTTTTCCCATACATAAAATCATTCATGAATAAACACATTATTTTGGAAGCCAAACTTCGAAGCAAGAAGAAGAGAAAGAAGGTAAAAAAAAAAAAAAAAAAAAAACAAAACCCAGAAAATCAAAGTATCATTTGGATTGCATAGCAACAGCAACACAAAAAAAAAAAAAAAAAAAAACAAAACCCAGAAAATCAAAGTATCATTTGGATTGCATAGCAACAGCAACACACATATCCATTTACTTCTTTTCCTTTTTAACTACCCAAGTTCTTCAAGCTTCAATCACATCAGGTTTTATCAGTTGAATCTCAGTGAGCCACCATGTGCTCCCCAAATTAAAGATAGCTGATGATCCCAGACCTTGTTTCCTCCATTCTACGCCCATAGGCTGAAGATTTCTGACCTCACAATATGTAGATGGATGCTAAAGAAAGTAACTGACAGAGTTGCTTGGGTAGTGCCAAATACAAATGAACTAGCTCTAGGAGATGGTGACAATCTGGATACTTTTATTTTGATTCCCAGACAATAGCCTGTAGAATAGACTGTTTGCCGGTCTTACAGAATTCTGAAATTTTTGTCTCCATTCCTAAGTCATAGGAAATACAGTTTTAGAGCTATCAGGGACCTTAAAAGTCATCAAATCATTCATTTATGTTAAAAAATGCATACTGAACACCTACCATATGCATAGCCCTGTGATACACACTGGAGATAAAAGGATAAACAAAACATAATCACAAACCTCAAGGAGTTCATGGTTCAGTAAAGAAAAAAATCACTGGAAGAATCACATTACCATGTGATAAGGACTGTATGATGGAGTGAATGACTGAGTTTGCTACAGAAGGCTCCAGAGAATAGGTGATTCTTGAGCTGGATTTTGAAGAGTGTTGCAGCGTTTTTCAGGAAGATATATGAGTATTCTCAATAAAGTGAATGGAATATAGGAAGGTTGGGAAGTAGTGAACGTATCAGGTAGGTTTAGGAACAGGTAGTAATCCACAGTTGTTCATGGGGGAAATGATGATGGAAAAGGCTTGAAATGGAATAGGAATCGTGAAGAGCCTGATGAATAGGACTTATAAGTCCTTCTTCCCCAGACAAAGCCAGGCCTAGACATATGGGCTCCTTCAGCAGGCTAATAATTGGATGTCTCTTCAAACCAATAGTCTCTAAGTATTTTTTCTACACTACGGTTATTTAGTGGGGTTGGAAGTAGAATCAAAAATCTATTAACAAAACAGGTACCCATACTAATCCATTCATACCAGACAAAGCAGAATTTAAATTTTGCAAAGAATTCAGTTAAATGGTTCTCACTTTTCTATAGTTTTTTTCTCTCTTCAGTTTTTTCCTACCCTTTTCCAAATTTGACATCTTCTTGGGAACCATATTAAGGTTTTAAAATTGATTCAATGATAAAGTAAATCACTCTTATGTGATAAACAACACCTTGACGTGCATATTTGGTTTCTAAATTTCAGCTGCCTGCCAACTTTCCACTGACTGAAACCTTGCATGCATTGAGCAAAGTACTTATCAGAAAAAGGGCAAGCCAGGGAGGATTGTTTTTAAGTTTTCTAATGTGGGCTACCTTCCACTGCATTGGGAATGGAATCAAGTTACTTGTTCCCAGCCATGTAAGGACTTGAGTGTGGAAACCTGAGTTACCTGGCACCATTTCGGTAACTCAGAGATAGACTTCCCACGCAGCTCCTAGGTTAGCCTACCCTTTCTCAGACTTTGTGTCTGGACCAATAGTTTTCATACTCTACTTTTTGAAGTCCTTCTAATTTTTAGTTGACCTTCAATCGAATGAAATCTTCTGGAAACCCAATGCATAAAAGTGATAAAGGCAGAGCCTCCTGACCAGAGCAGAGGAATACCTAAGACCTTTCTTGTTAACATCAGTGGTGCCTAGATATAAACCTCAGGATTCTGTGGCTCTAAAAAATGGGGAGCTCATGAATGTATTAAGCAGGAGTAACATTTTTGCAACATCTGCCTTTTGCAAAGGAAGAAACTATAGGCCAGATGAAGCTCAGACCATGCGTGGACAATGTATCTGCGGTTGTTGGAGAGGAGAAAATTAATTAGTCCTGCCAGACTCTGGTTGTAAACACACACACACACACACACACATACACACACACACACGGGACACCCCCTCCCACCCATATAGCACTTACTGTGAAAACATTAACCTCTTTAATGTGGCTGCTTCCAAAGGGGACAGCAGCTTGAGAGGTGGCATGGGGTGAAGCTCATTATCACAGGAGAGCTGGTCATGAAGCAGCAGAGGCAGACTTTTCCTGCTGGGAGAGTCACTCTTATCCGCCTGCTTTACCAAGTAACTCTGTCAACATGAATCAAGGCAAGGTGGGGAGCACATATTTGCTCATATGGATACACAGTTACAACAAAAGCCTGGGCAACGTGGGTAGTTGGGCTCCTTCTCAGCAGGCCATCTGGGCCTCAGAGCCAGCAGCCCTCTCAGACCTCGGCTCCGGCACCTGCAACACCAATCATCTCAACAGCTGCTGCTCCTAACAGGAGTCCCCTCTGGGCAACGTTCATTCCTTTGTTACAGTCAGCTTGTCTTTCAGTTCTAAAGTCAAGAATCAGGCTTACACACTTTGCCTTAAAAAATGTTCTTCAAATGCTTTACATCAGAGGTAAGCATGTATGAGCTTATAAGTATGCTTTACAGGCAATGCAAGGAGTCTGGTACCTAAAATTTCACCTTTAAAAGTACTTGTGAGAATCCATGTAGTCCTTTCTCCCAAGGCCTTTCTCCAGGTCAGCCCAAGGAATACACCGTCGTTACCTAAACTTTTGTATTTTAATCTTCAACTACTCAGTTTGTGGGTCCTGAATGCCTTTGAATATACGATGAAAGCTACAGACCCTCTTCCAGGAAAATACACAGAATTTTGCACACAATTTCAGCGGGTTCATGGATCCCTAGAGACATGTTATGAAAACCCATCCCTAGGCTGACAAGCATTTTCTTTCTCCAATTATAAGAAGATTGCTGGGCCAAGAAGGAATGGAGCTTGTCATTACCAGCTACAATCAAGTCAGTCTTTATTGATCTGTTCAATAAGCTGGTCAGGTTAACAGCCATATCCCCTCAGCTATACTCATTGGGATATTTCCATTCTAACGGAAGATAGAGTAGAATGCTAGAAGGCATAGTTGCTGCCTTTTCTCTCCTCCATATTTGCTTCCTGAGTTTCTATTCCTCCAACACTACCATAAACATTGACTCTTGATCACATCATTCTCCTGTTTGAAACACTTCAGTGGCCTATTGGCTCCTCCAGGACAAAGTACAAGTTCCCCAACATGATTTGATGGTCATTCATCTTCTTCTTCTGGCTTATTACTCTTCATTCTTTGCCTCTGTGTGGTTCCTACACCTGGAAGAGCAGAGAGAGTCTACCTCATGCTTCTGCCATCTCATGTCCTGTGTCTCTGCTCATGTAGTCCCCCAGCCTACAATGTTACTCTTCCCTCACCTGACTAATCTCTAATCACCAGTTCACTCAGCTGGCATCTCCTCCAGGGAGACTTTGCTGACCCCTCTGTGTGTCCTTGATCTCCTTGAGCTTCCTTTCCCCTTCCAGGGAAATATCCCTGGGAGCATATGTGGGCTTGTTCACTTTGTATAACCAGTGCCTAATGCATGGCAGGTAGTCGGTAAATGTTAGAGGAAGGAAGGAAGGAAAGATCCTCTGAATATACCCATTCAACTCAGGAACACTATATTCTCTAACAGGACAAGGGCTCCCTGAAAGCTGATACCTGCATAACAATGCTAAATCACAGGAAGGAGAGAGTAGGGTCATAATTAGCGTGAGGACCTTAAAAGAAGCAAACTACTCAGTTCCAGGTGAACGTGGTGTGCTATGCTCATCATCTTTTATTATAACATCGTGGCTTAGGGTCCAGAAGTTAAAGCAGGGTTCCTAGCCTTTGTTTCACATTAGAATCATCAAGGAGCTTTTTAAACATACTGGATCACACTCCCAGAGATTCTGATTTAACTGCTCTGGAGGGGAGAGCCTAGGCATTAGGAGTTTTACAAGCTCCTCAGCTGATTCTAATGTGAAAGCATGGCTAAGAGCCACCGCTGTAGTGCTGGACATGGGTTGAAGTCTAGCTCTGATGCTAAAGCAGCTGTGAACATTCTGGCAAGTCCCCCAATCCCTCTGAATCGCAGATTCCTCTTCATTTGGATAGTGTAAGGATTAAATGACACAATGACTGCCAAGTGATCAGCTCGGCATTCTGTAAGCAGTCACTAAGTGTTAGGTGATGTCATAAAGATATCACCAACTTTGTCCTCCCAAAGAGAAACTCTAGGATGGTGCTAGAAGAGATGATGAGCCACAAAGAATACCAGTTCCTATAAGACTGGCTGTCTGGGATGACACTTGGTTCAAGTATTCTGAAACCTATCAGATGCTCAAACAAAACCATCAATACCCCTTGGTTAACGAGATAAGATTACTGCAAGCAAATTAGTCAAGGATATATTGCAGCTATTTGCCAACGAGGCCTTGTAAGTAATACTGAAGTTCATGAACTTGATAAAGTAATAACAGTTTTCTTGGGCCCCAAGCTCATTGTGTCTGGCCAACATCAGCAAGTTGTTTGTCATTCAAAGACAGATCAAAAATCCTCATGTGCCGGAATCCAGCTCCGGCCAGGTCCAGGGGCCCCTGAAGGATGGACGGTGTCAGCGAGGGAGGGAGGAAGAGAGCCCTGAGATTCTTTCTGATCACCAGGCAGGCATCTCTGCCCTGTTGGTTTTGATGTCTTTATTTATAGGTCAAACGTTAACATGGCATCAGAAAATGGAATTTTTACAATGGATAGTTCTCTGTGATGTTTTCGAAAGGTACAGAAACAGGTTTCATAGAAGCATTCTTGCAAAACTGGCCCAAATATAGTGAGGTTGAGTAACTAAGAAAATAACAGGGCGTTCTTAGTGAAAAACAGGATAACATACACATTTTAATAACGCTAAGATTAATTCATAGGTTAAGCTGTAGATACTCTTTATTCATCCTCATCACAGCTGCCAGTGTAAGGGAAGGTGTTTGTGGAAGGAATGTAGGCCTTAGGGAAGGGACTGCTATACATCATTAGTTACCAAAGGTATAGAGTAACTTATGTTCTGCCCTTATCTGTTCCTTCTCTCTAAGTTAAGCTCTTTGTCTCCGGGCAAGACTTGATTTTCCAGTTATATTCTTTATGGCATTGGAGAGCCAACCATTCCTTTAAAGAGTTTAGCTCATTTCCAATACATAGAATAAATAGCCTCTTTGAGTGTATTTACCTTTCTATCTAGTTTTCTGATTTCTTAAATAGCTAGGGCATGAGAGACATTTTGGTTAGCTGATTTATATGTTGAGCTGTATGAACCTCTTAGACTAATACAATGGTAGAAACAGAACTGTACACATAAAGGTCAATCTTTCTTTTATGAGTAAGGGTCATTAGCCTGTTCATAGCTCAAGGTAAAGTATGGAGGAAAACAGAACCTGCTGGAGACACGATGTCTGTTCCCATAATCAAAAGAAGTTGTTCCCACAATAAGTTGCTACACAAGGTGCAATCATCATACCAGAGCCAGAATAAGGGGACAAGTCACTCCCGATACCGATCAACAAGGTATCTTGGGGGTCAGTGCTCAAGCAGAAATAATTGAGTGGGGCTGGATATCGGTCATCATCTGATTGGCAAGAGACCGTGCCAATCCTTTAACCTCACCAGGAGCTTTCTCGACTAGTGGGCTCAGAATGGCTCCCAACACTCAGGGCACTAGGTAACATTAGCAGAGGGGCTCAACTGCAGATAAGAATCACCTGGGGACATGTTCAAGTACAGAACCTTGGGCTTCACTGCCAAGGATCTGCAGGGCTACCAAGAAGTGTTCAGAGAGAACATCCACCCAATAACTCTGAGCACCAAAAGCTACCTCAAATTTTATAAAAATAGTAAGGTACATTGATATGATATGAACAATGGAAATTTATTACATCATTCTTCCATAAGGTGTGAATCTTTAGAAACCACTGCTCTGTGAGAGCATGTAGGTGGCTCAGTCAGTTAAACATCCAACCCTTGATTTCACCTCAGGTCATGATCTCATGGTTTGTGAGTCTGAGCCACTCAATGGCCTATGTGTTGACAGTGTGGAGCCTGCTTGGAATACTATCTCCCTCTCTCTCTGCCCCTCCCCCCCTCATGTTCTCTCTTGAGCTTTCTCTGTCTCAAAATAAATAAACTTAAAAAAAAAAAAAGAATCCACTGCTCTTTGTTAAAATAAATTGTGTTGAGATATCATTTACATACAATAAAATGCACTCATCATAAGTGGAGGTTTTGTTGAATTTCGACAATTTTATATGCACATGTAACCACAATCACAAAGATTTCCAAACAAACATTTTCACCATACCGGAAATCCCTCTCCCTCTCCCAGTCGATCCTTACTCCACCTCCCAGACCAGCAAGCCCTGATCCCTTTCCAGTCACTTATAGGCTAGATTGTCTTTTCTAGGGTTCTTTTATGAATACAATAGGCAATGTGTATTTTCTCGTTTCTGGCTTCTTTCTGTTCAGCATAGTGTCTGTGAAATTTATCCTTATAGTTACCTATACATTAGTTTATTCCTCTTTATTGCTGAATCACTGTCCATTGTGAAGATATACCACAATTTGTTTATCCCTTCACCTACTGATGGACATTTGCTTGCTTTCAGTTTAAGCTTTATTCAGTTACAAAGACTAAGTCAAACTGTATTTACTACTGAAACAGTTTCAAGACAAGAACTGTAGCCCCTTTACTGAACAGACTGCTGACCCCAAGCCTCTCCTTTATGAAAATTCTAGAGGTGCCTTCTCCAGAGGTTCTGATTATGTTTCAGCTAAGCCCAGGAAACAAAATCTTTAATAATTATGGTTCTTCAGGGCACCTAGGTGGCTCAGTCAGTTAAGCATTGGACTTGGGCTCAGGTCATGATCTCACAGTTCGTGGGTTTGAGTCGAGCCCTACATTGGGCTCTGGGCTGACAGCTCAGAGCCTGGAGCCTGCTTCAGAGTCTGTGTCTCCCTCTCTCTCTGCCCCTCCCCTGCTCACCTTCTCTCTCTCTCGCTCACGCTCTCTCTCTCTCAAAAATAAATATTTTTAAAAACCATTTAAAAACTAATTATGCCTGTGTAAGCTAATGCCGCAAGTCCCCAAACTACCATGACAAATACTGTCCAAAGGCATGGTGCACTGACTAACTGCAGGTACAACCCATTTCTGGTCAGAAGGATTTGCATTTTTCTTCTGTGACAGAGCTAAGTAAGGAGCCTCTCTCTTAGACTCCACAGAGCTCACCAGGCTCCTGTAATCGAATGGCCAAGCCAAAGATGGGAAGGAAGCCAGGGCACTGCTTCCCAAACTGTGAATCCTGTCAGGTCAGCAAACTCACTGCTGTGGAAGATCCTCAGGGAGTCAGAGGCAGCAGTAAAACTCTTGATCACACCCTCCATCCTCAGTCCTTACAAAACACAACTTTTTATCTCCTTAAGGACTAAGACCTGAAGCGTATGCGACTAATGTCTGAAGCAAGAACCTGTAACAATGGCCACCACAAAAAGAAAGGTCATGAAACGACTGGAGAGGAATGGCCCTGAGCATCGCTAAAACAGCACAGATGGCCGAGATGGTATCTGAGGATGAGGCTCGGTGCTGACAAGGCTAGTCTGCTTGGCAAGAATCCTTTAACAAAGATCCAAGGAGAGAGTTTCAGAGGAGGTGAACACAAGAGACAGGATCAGGTTGGCCAAGGGTTGTGGAGTGAGTCAAGTTCAGCAACATGCTGCCTCTCCTTACCACCTTAAAGGTTACATTGGTTAATCATTGACAAAAGGATTCTCATTTTTCCTCCAAGAAAGACAAGCATTTTATTTACCCTTTTCTCCTCAAACCTCTCAATTGTTAAGTTCACTCCTTTAGGTTTTTCCTTTTTGGTAACACTATGAACCTTGTTGTTAGATACAAGAAATGAAGTGCATCCCTATGTTTCCACATGTACAGAATTTAGAAAACCATATGCTTTTCCTTTTCCTCCTTCTCCTCCTTTCTTCTCCTCCTCCATCTTTTTCTCTGCCTCCCCCTCTTCTTCCTCCTCCAATTCTCTTTTTTTGTGACCAAGTTTCATTTTTTTTGTGACCTGGCATTCTGCACAACACTGAGTGTGTAAGAAGTCAAACCAACAGAACATAGTATCACATTAATGCAGTCCATGACAGCCAATCTTGGCCTGTTAATAGAAGTGTTTTCAGTTTCTACAAGAGCAGTATGATTGGGAGCTCTTTATTATTTATCCATCCATCCATTCAAAAATATTTAACGAGGACTAGATAAATGCCAGGCACTGTGCAAGATGCCGAGGCTGTCAAGTTTAAATAAGACCTGTTCTTCTTTTCCAAGAGTTTACACCCCAATGGGAAACAGACATTGAGGCAGACAAATTAGAAGTTTGCTCTAGTGTAGGGATAGTTGGAAGACAGGAGTGGGGGCAGGGAGGAGAGCACTGCAGGAACTGGGAGACACTGCAGATTATTTTAAAAGCTGCTCTACCACCAGTGACCTCCATTCATGCAAGATCATAGCAGACTCAGTGGAGTGGAGGAAAGGATTTCAGGGCAGGAGTGCTAAGAAAATCTTTCATAATGTATCACCATACATGTTAGAACCAAACATGTTTGGTTTTTAACAAAATAAAATTATTAGCTCTACTCACTTGAAAATCAAGACTGTCTTAATTAATTCTTAATTCTTATCTGATAGGACTTTATCAGGTAAATCTGATATGTGAGCCTGCGGGATTAGAGATGAAATTACTCATGGAAGAAGCTGGCATTTCAAGGAAAATAACATGTGCTCTCTGAGAACCTCTTAAAGTTTGGCCAGAAGTTCTTACCAACCCTCTGTGCTGGCTGAATGCCTAATTTCTGGAGAATTCAAACATGTTAAAGACATTCCAAACCCATGATTGTCAAGAAACTCTCAAATGAGGATGGATGGCCAGAGACATTGTGAAAGCAGAAGGTAAGAATCAAGAGAAATATATGTTGAGGTTTTCCTGGGTTATTTTGGGGCTTCTTCTTGTTTTTCATATTCACCCATTGCTTCCTAGGGCTTACACCCTCATCTGACCCTAGAGATCCCCAGATCTGTGGATTCAGCCCTAACCTCTCCCTCCAATTGTAGAGCTCTGTGTCTACCTGCCACATTCAAACTTGGCATTTACCCCCTCCAGACCTTTGGTGGAGACAGAACATATATTACAGAAACGTATGGAAAAGCCTACCCTCTAATTAAGATAGAAATGGGGACTTTAGTCTCTTTTCCAGGATGTTTTTAAAAATAAAATCTGATAGTAACTAACAAAATGGATTAGTGCGAATTTCAGTTCTATTTCTTTTTCTCCTTAAAAAGTCCTAATATCAGAAAGACAAAAGACAAAGAGCCCCCAAGAAACCCAAATGAATGTGGCAGAAACTATTATTTGCTTCCACTCTTGTCTTTTGCTTAGTAAAAGGAACCTTGATTTTTTAATATTTTTAAAAATTTATTTCAGAGAGAGAGAGAGAGAAAGAGACAGCGTGAGCAGGGGAGGGTCAGAGAGAGGGGGAGATACAGAATCTGAAGCAGGCTCCAGGCTCTGAGCTAGCTGTCAACACAGAGCCCGACGCGGGGCTAGCACCCATGAACCATGAGATCATGACCTGAGCCAAAGTCGGACACCCAACTGACTGAGCCACCCAGACATGCCAAAGGAACCTTGATTTTATTTGGTCCAGCAATACACACAGCTGAAAGGCATTTCCCAGACTGCTTTGCAGTTAGCTATAGTCATGTGACAAACTCCTACTCAGTGACATGTAATAGGTGATGTACTGAGTAATATTGTATGGAACTTCCAAGAAGGCTGTGTAAGGAGATTTAAAGTTGTCAGACATTGCTGGGAAAAAGAGCCCTTTGTCTTTTCCCTCCTTCCTCCTTCCTACTGACTGGGACACAGATGTGATGGCTAGACCTTCAGCAGTCTTCTAAGAAGACTGGTGATGAAAACTATGTACTGACTTTTTAATGGCTTCATGGAGCTGCCATACAAAACCGTGACCTGCTTTCTTCCAAACTTCTTTTAAGTGAAAGATTTTAGACCACTGTGTACTTAGGCTACCATATTCAGGTCTTTGTTACAACAGAACCTAATCTTTACTGATACATTAAATAATTAGGTGTTAGGTATAATATCTAATAGAGAGTTAACTGTAATATTAGCAGTTAAAGCTTGAGAGAGACATACAGCTGTTTGGTGAGAGTGACAACAGATTAAAATCAGACCTCCCATTCTCAACATTATTGGGCAATGTTGGATGCACAGGAGTAACATGAGGGCAAAAGAAATGAATATTGGGTGGAAGGTCAATTGCATGGCCTCATAAAGTTCAAATGCCCTGGTAGCTCATGTTCCTCTTGGTCTTGTTTAATTGATTCATTTCTGGCTGAAATTCAGCACCAGGACACTCAGGCTCCAGAGCCTGCAATGGACTGGGTCAGATAGGAGCTACGTGACCCAAGTTAGCATCAAGCAAACCACCGTCACCATAACAACTGCTCTAATTTGTTTTATTAGGAAGCTAGTGACAAATCCATTCACAGCCAGAATCTAGCTTGGAAGAGGAAAAAGCTTCATTTAGTGGGGGGAAAAAAGTACTTTCTACTCTTCCAGCCCATCTATATTTCCATGCACATCTCCACCAAACCACAAGGCAAGAACCATCCCATCACTATAATGATAAACAGACAACAGGCCAGAGATCACACTTTTACCCCTTCCACCCTAACCTCCATATTTCACTGGGTCAAATATTTTGTATGGCCTCCAGGCCGTACTTCCACAATCAAAGACTCAGGTAGACTTCTGCTCTGGAATCAACCCTGCCCATGTGCCTCTGACTTTAGCACTCATTCAGAGAGGCTTAGAGCCCTGGTGCATGGGCAGAGACAGAACAAGGTTTCCCCAAAAGTTCAGTGGAGAGAATCTTTGCCTTTCCTTTATGTTTCTTTTGGCCCCTTGACATGAACACAGCAGGTCCTATGTCAAGGACTTCTTGGGAGCATTGTGAGGCAAGAGCATAATTCTAAACAATCCAGGGGAAAGCTACTTTTCATTGGGCACCCCCTTTCACACCACTTACTATCTTGCACTCTGTCATTTCTTAATTAAAAAAGGGCTTTAGAATATGAAAGAAAAATTAACCGGATTCTTAACACCTTGTCAAAGGCAACCCCACTCTCCATGGCATATTGAAAAGAGCCCTGTGGGGCGCCCGTGTGGCGTAGTCAGTTAAGCGTCCGACTTTCGCTCGGGTCATGATCTCGCGGTTCATGGGTTCGAGCCCCGCGTCGGGCTCTGTGCTGACTGCCAGCTCAGAGCCTGGAGCCTGTTTCAGTCTGTGACTCCCTCTCTCTCTGACCCTCCCCTGCTCACGCTGTCTCTCTCTCTCTCCCAGAAATAAATAAAACATTAAAAAAAAAAAAAATTTTGAAAAGAGCCCTGTTACGGACCACCAGAGGTCTGGGTTCAAGTGCTGGTGTTCTTTTTTTTTTTTTTTTTAAGCTGGGGATATATTTATTCAAGCGCCTGTTCTACTAATTATCTATGGAATCTGGGCAAGCCCAGGGCCTCAAGTTTTTTCTTTTTTCTATATTTGTGTGTGTGTGTGTGTGTGTAACTTGTAAATACCAAGCATTTGTCAAGGTGCTGAGAATTCAGAAGCAAACAAAACAGATGAAAAATCCTGCCCTCCCTCCTGCACTGTTGGTGGGAATGTAAACTGGTACAGCCCCTCTGGAAAACAGTGTGGAGGTTCCTCAGGAAACTAACAATAGAACTCCCTTATGACCCAGCAATAGCACTGCTAGGAATTTACCCAAGGGATACAGAAATGCTGAGGCATAGGAGCACATGTACCCCAATGTTCATAGCAGCACTCTCCACAATAGCTAAAACATGGAAAGAGCCTAAGTGTCCATCAACAGATGAATGGATCAAGAAGATGTGGTTTATCTATACCATGGAATACTACATGGCAATGAGAAACAATGAAATCTGGCCATGTGTAGCAACATGGATGGACCTTGAGGGTGTTATGCTGAGCGAAATAAGTCAGGCAGAGAAGGACAAATACCATATGTTTGCACGTATAGGAGGATTAGGAGGAACTTGACGGAGGACCAAGGGGGAGAAGAAGGGCGGAAATGGTGGGGGAAAGGGAGAGAGGCAAACCATGAGAGACTCTTGAATGCTGACAAAAACTGAGGACTGATGGATGTGGGGGGGAGGGGGGATGGGCATGAAGGAGGGCACTTTGGGGATGAGCACTGAGTGTTATGTAGAAACTAATTTGACAATAAACTATTTGTAAAAAAAAAAAAAAGAAAAATCCTGCCCTTTGTGGGGTTTATGATGGAATGGGGGTGGAGGTGGGGGATCAGACAGACCTTAAATGGAAAATGACACATGTATATTTATGTTTAGACTGATAAAAATTATGAAAGGAAAGTACACAGTTCTCAGAGGGAGGACCAGCTAATTTAGATTGAGGGAGACATAACATTTCAGCTGAAGCCTGAGGAATGGGCAAGAGTTAGCCAGGCAATGAATGGGAAAAGAGGGTTTCAAAAACAGGGATTAGACAGGCAATGGATCTAGAGTCCCTATTTCTCTTCCACAGCTCCAAAATAATAATAATTACAGGCACCTGGGTGGCTCAGTAGTTAAGCTGAGCTGATTTGGGCTCAGGTCATGATCTCACAGTTGTGAGATGGAGCCCTGGAGTAGGGTTTCGGATTAGGCAGGGAGCTTGCTTAAGAGTCTCCCTCAGCCCCTCCCCTGTGCACATGTGCATACTCTGTCTCTCTCTTAAAAAATATTATCATTATTACTGTATAATAGTAAAATAATCTGGATATATGTCCGTAATATATACATTCCTATAATATGTTTTATATATATATATATATATATACATACATACATATATATATATAATTATAGTCAAGTGACCTGTGAGAACCTGTTGGCCAAGACCACATGAGAGATGGTGAGCATCTCAGGAGATGCTGATGGGAAATAAGCCAGTCACCAAAAGCCAGACGAGGATATTCACCAAGTGTGAAACAGTCAAGGGCCAGATCATGCCCCCATCCCTCCACCATACCCTCAATCCATGAGATCATGTAAAGCCAGGGCTCTTAGGTCCCCCTGAAGGGAAAAAGTGGGGCGGAGGTAGCTATCCTGAATTGATTAGGATTAAACCAGAAAATACTGAAAAATACTGCAGTGATCAAATCCATATGGAAAGAATTAAGGGCAGTTTTCTGCCATGGGCTTGAGATGAGAGTTGTTTTTGCCATGGGAGATTAAAGTTTTTGTTTTGTTTTGAACCTCTGACCATAAGCAGTGAAGTGCTTCTGGGTGGGTATGCGTGTACATTCTACAGAAGGAGTGAGCACATATACAGTCAGCTTTTCGTAGCTACAGAGCGCAGATAAGGAGGCAGGCATGGAGCACATCGCCTTCTTCTGATGGACTAGTGCACATGCCCCAAGCCACGACCTGGTGCTTGTCTTTGGACTCCTCCACCAATACTCCCTATGTTGGCCCTGGCCTTGAGATTTCCTAGGGCCCTCCAGGAGCTCACACATGTTAACAAGTGGGGTCTGCCCCAGCCCTGGACATTTCCCAGCACCTCCTCATAAAGGTATGTGCCCTGGGGCTTGAGCCTGGAGGGACAGCCTCCAGCAACCCCTTTGCCCCTCTGTGCTCCTGAGATCTGAACTGCACGGTCCCAGAGGGATGGCCTCACACATACTGCCAGGAAAGGAACAGGCAGCCTGAATATGATGGAGAGCCTCAGGCAGAAATGTAAGTAACTTTGGGGTACTCTGCAGAGTGAAGAACAGGCTATGTGAAAGCTACATTGCACGTGCCCTAGGGTTTAACAACAGCCCAAGAGCAGAGAGAGATCATTTCC